TGTGCATGAGATGTCTATGTAGTGTGTGTGAGATGTGTGTGTTGTGTTAGGTGTGTATGAGATGGAGTCTGTGTGTGTGTGTGTGTTTGTCAACACTGCGCCAGCATTTGATTCAATCAATGACTTTCTCAGGTTCGTCAATTGAGTTTCCCTGCTGAGCTGCAAGTGGATTAGAGCCAATCTTCATTCAGAGCTGTCCTTCTGCTCCCCGGACGCCTCCAGTCAAGCACACACACACACACACACACACACACACACACACACACACACACACACACACACACACACACACACACACACACACACACACACACACACACACACACACACACACACACACACACACACAAACACACATTCCTATATACTACAAAAACTACATTTCCCATGATGCAGTGATATGACATCAGTAAGTCACCGTAAACTTGTGTCAAAAAGGTCCATCGGAGAGTAAATATAGGAATGAGGAACTGATGGGCGAGTCCTCCTGTTATTGCCTGGTGCGTATGCGGATGTGTCCCATCATGCCCTGCTTCGCCCCGTGGAGCGTCAGTCTGGCTCAATGCTAATAAAACCATAATTTAGCAGTCAGGCTGACTGATCGCTCTTTCAAGACACAATCGATCAGCGCCTCATTTCAGCGGGACGGGTTTCTGTAGCCAGCAAGACACTTCCTTCCTCGCGTCAGCTTTTATAAACGTCACGCCGACACACACACCACATGGGCTGTGTTTATGGCTTACAGGAGGCGCTCCCGGAGAAGAACCCGGTCCGGGACATACTTTGGCATAGATGATAATGAATTACAGTCGGAAATTTCTCAGGCCTGTTGTTTAAACCTGTCTATTTTGGCAGCCATATGAGTAGCAGTGCTTGATTTGGTTTTAAAAAAGAGCTATAATGTAAAAATCACTTTTATAAGGGGTTTACACACAGTTGTGTGTCAGCAGTGTGTGAATATATCCAGCTTCTAATGGTAAACATAGTAATTAAATTTTTTTTAAAATCAGACTTGATATAAACAGTCTGCAGAAACACTTTAATTGACATTCTCCCTTTTGTACGTGTCATCAGAGTGGGAAAGCCCCGCCCACTAGTGACCATCTCTGCCTCATTAGCATAAACAGCAGCCCTGAGTGAGAAGCAGCCGCCTGCTTGTCGAGTTTTAAGATGCACAAATGAACACCGCTTTCAGCTTTTCGTGAACAGTCAGTTTTTCATAGAGATAACATTATTCTTGCTTTTGAATCTGCCACTATACTGACACACAAGCATTTGTAGCTCCGCCCTCTATTGAAAGAGCACAATCTCATTTGAATTTAAAGCGACAGTCACCAAATTAGGATCAAAGCCATTTAGGGTCAGTTTCAGAGAGTTATAAAACAATTGTGTGGGTTAATTTGAGCTGAAACTTCAAATACACACTCACACTCTAGGGACATCAGAGACTTATTTAAAATGTTGTAAAATAGGTACCCTTTAAATAGATATTTAGTAGATAAAATATTATTTTGTATTTATTTATTCGGCGACGCAGTGGCGCAGTGGGTAGCACGTTCGCCTCACAGCCAGAAGGTCACTGTTCGAACCTTGGCTCAGTTGGCGTTTCTGTTTGGAGTTTGCATGTTCTCCCTGCGTTCGCGTGGGTTTCCACCGGGTGCTCTGGTTTCCCCCACAGTCCAAAGACATGCGGTACAGGTGAATTGGATAGGCTAAATTGTCCGTAGTGTATGATATATGTGTGAATGACTGTGTGTGGATGTTTCCCAGAGATGGGTTGCGGTTGGAAGGGCTTCCGCTGGATAAAAAGTTGCTGGATAAGTTGGCGGTTCATTCCGCTGTGGCGACCCCGGATTAATAAAGGGACTAAGCCGACAAGAAAATGAATGAAATGAATTTATTTACTCTTTAATTCAAGCAAACTTTCTTTTGATGCACTGGCAGAATTATTAATTCATTCATTCATTTTCCTTCGGCCTTGTCCCTTTATTCATCAGGAGTAGCCAAAGCAGAATGAATAGTCAACATATCCAGCATATGTTTTATGCAGTGGATGCCCTTCCAGCTGCAACCCAGTAATGGTAAACACCCATAAACTCTCA